CATTGTGTAGCTTTGTGCTTAATTACAAACAAATCTTACTAGAACAAGAAATGAGCGGAATCGCGTTAAATACACAATCACTACAAAGTAGCACTGAAGCCTCTGTAATTCAGAGGCAATGTCTGAGGGCTTATAACGTTAGAAATCATATTTAGTTTTTATTTTACTTTCTGTAAGTATAGACTGAATTTGTAAAGACAGCAACTGAAATTGGAACAAAATATGTATATTATTTATTACTCATGTTATTGACCTTCTCGAATATTCGTAACCTAAAATCAATGATTTTCAAATGATCAAATAAATGAATAACATACAACCGGAAAAAAACTCTTTGTTTATTGAGTTGATTTGAAATTATGAAAAACACGCTAAATTAACAGGAAGTAGAAAAATCCTAATTACTATATGCAAAATAAATATTTGTTGTTAAGCCTAAATCTACACAATAGGTTATCTGTGCTGTGCCCACTACGGGTATCGAAACCTTGCTTTTAGCGTTACAGGAATGATTAGTGATATAGAGTATAATGTAGTGTTTTTAAAGCCCAACTTATAAACAAAGATGAGAAAATATCTATACGAAATAAAATAACACATTATTTAGCTTCAGATAAGGTATTATTTCATTCGTCAGGTATTCTACTTTGATGAAAATAATTTGGTCTGGGATTTTATATTTTAGTAAGTTGGAAGAGCTTTTAAAGCGTGCCATCAATGGTAAGGCTAAAGCCGAAACTAATCCGTGTGCGTAAAAGGCTCAGGGAGGGTAATAAAAAAACGAGCAACAGTTATCCGAAAAACCAGTTGATTCATCTAATCGTAAAAAGGTTTTCATATTATCCACAAAAACAAACAATTTTGCCTTCAAGGCTACTGAAAAATCGTGAAAAAAACTGATTCAAAAACCTTTGAGTAATTTTGTGTAAACATTTGAAAATAAACAAAACAAAAAACACATAATAGATGATAAACCAGAAATTTATGAACATTGGGCCTGAACTTACATTCCCGTAACTGCTTCAAGTTCAACAAATCATTCAACTGTCATAAAACCATTTTTTGCTTATTAATTCGAATGTAATATTTGAAAGTTTTTTGGTAAACAATAAATAAGGTAAATAAATATATTGTACTGGAATTTTCTGGTATTGTTGTCTCTTTGTGTTCGATCTATGGGTCGAAGATAAAGTCATCAAAAGGTCAAAGGACAAACAGCTTGATAAATTAGAGGATTATTTGTTTGTTTTTGAATTTCGCGCAAAGCTACACGAGGGCTATCTGCGCTAGCCGTCCCTAATTTAGCAGTGTAAGACTAGAGGGAAGGCAGCTAGTCATCACCACCCACCGCCAACTCTTGGGCTACTCTTTAACCAACGAATAGTGGGATTGACCGTCACATTATAACGCCCCCACGGCTGAAAGGGCGAGCATTTTTGATGTGCCTTAACCACCTGGCCAAATTAGAGGAAGAAGACATTTCGATTCTTCTTAGATATTTGCTACCACTCTTTTGAAAGGTAGAAATTAATATTTAAGAACAATTACTTTATGAGACTACTCAAAATAATTGAATTCGATTTTAAAGTATATACACGTGGTAATTAAATATTTGCAGTACTAGGTAGGGTATGATTAACTGTTTTTCTACACAAACATATGTATGTAAAACGCCCAACTTGAAAATATCCAGCTAAACAATGATGCTATAGAAGTACATTTTGTTTTAAAATGTTCCTAAGCTATTGTTCTTTATTTTTAACATAGATGGACAAATAAAAAGGTCTACGTTTCCAAGCTCTCATTTTACACCTGAATTTATTGTCGTCATATCTATTAAAGGCGATAATAATTCCCAACACTGACATTTTACAGCTCACTTGCTTTCAATCTAATGTAGGAAAATCAGTTAAACTGGAAACTGTAAGAAGGAAAAATAATTAAAAGCAGTGAGAAAATAATATATTAACTTAATAACAAGTAAGCATGACATTAAGCTTTAGAGCCTCGAAATCTCGTGAATAACCAACACCATCCAAAAATAGTTTTGGACAAACTATGGTTCTATTTGCTATTTTTAAGTAAATCTCTTCGTATGTTTCTGAATACTAAATAGATCATTTTAACAAAGAAGCTGGAAAATTAATACAAGCGAGTTTTAATACAATCAACAGTTCCACAACTGCTCATTAGCTACAAAGACAGCAAAGTTTTTATTAAAAGGTAAGAGAAAAGTACCTTTTTAATTTTCTTAATTTCGTCGCTTTCTTCTTCCTCTGAGCTATTAGGCGTCAGATGCCATTCTCTTTTCAGCGAACCCAACTGGAAAAAAAATGTATAATAAAGTTTACCTTATTCATTTTTGTAATAAAAGTTTACAATTACTCTTTTATATATATATATATATATATATTAAGCTACGAAGTTTACTCGTTTACTCGAAGTTTACATTTACTCTCAATCACGGAACAATATATACAGTTTATATTTGTTTACTACGTAAATTTGGGTTTTAAATATATTAAATTGTGTGGAATTAATTTCTCTGCTCAGCAAATTAAATAGCATCCATATTGAAAATTTTAATATATATATATATATATGTTTGATTCTTAAAATAAAAGTTAGAAATTAAAATACACATTTCAAAATGCAGTATTGGTTGTTTTACGCACATCTATCTATTCAATCTTTATGCCATGATCGAAGCATAAAGTGGAATGAAATAAAAGAGGTATTATCTGCTGTGCATATAAATTGTATTACCATGAACAGAGAGTACTTATAGAATGTTGATGATATAATAACCACTCCATACTTTTGTTTTGCGGTATTTAATATTATCGTTGTTAGCATAATCAGTGATGTATTAAATAAATCTATCTGGAATGTGAAAAGCAGATAATGGAACATTTATCTAATGCAGTTTTGTTCTTGGCGAAACGTTTTACTCGTGACTTGACTAAATATTGTTTAAAATATTCTGCAACAATATAACTTACATATAAGACATATGAATGTAATACAGTAAAACTAACTTTTAAGTCACGCCATCCGCATCCAGTGCTCTTCAGGGATTTACCCACCTCAGCTCGTAGTTTTTTAATCTCACAGGTAAGTTCTTCACACTGCTGTGTATACTGCCATTTTGCAGTTTTTTCACTTTCAACAATCTGGACTAGATGAAGGTGTTTTTGTTCTAGCTCTTCTTTTTGTAGCAAGATTTTACTGAAACTGGTGAATAACATAACGAGTGAGTAATTTAATAATTAAGTAATCTACAGTTAATTAATAAAAAAAAATTAATGAATGACAGTAGGTAACAAAATCATTACATTTAAAAATACCTTTTTCTTCTGTATCATTTAAAATCGTTTTCAAAAACTACACGGGATTTCTAGAAACATTATTTACATTTCTGACATTTGTTAAATTTTAATTGTTCATAAAAATTAAAATAAAATACTTGTTATTTTAATTTCTTTATTTAAAATACGTTATATAGATACTGGTATGTACTTCAAATGATTCAAGCTACATGATAAATAGCGTTTTGTTTAGCATTTGACTTTAATTTAGATACTAAATTTAAATCGATACAGCTAAGTATTTTAATGAAAAACTTCTATTAGCAATAACAATAGACACGAAATTCTAAGCATGGTGTGAGAATAAATTCAGTGTTAGGTACAAATATCAACATGCTTTTAAATAATATTATATTATTTTGTTGCACTGTATTAAGACTTTTGCTGTGCTGTGAAAATGTATGGCTGTTGCTATATAGAATCTGTTTTTTAATATAAAAAACAATTCTTAATTTATTTCCACTCCAGATCAGCTTGTGTTGCTAGTGGCACCGCTAAGAGCGCCTGTTGATGTTTAAGTGCAGAACAGTGAGACACGATATACTAAAGTGCTCTGTCTCTCACAAGACGTGATTTCAGAACCAAGAAAGAGTTAAAAAATTTAGTACAAACAGTCCATATGAACGCTAATTTAGGAAGTGTGTTTAAGCCGGAATCCATCGAAAAGATTCCCAACGAGTAAAGAAAACAAGAATGTCATCACAATGTTTGTTCTATTGTCACCTGTCCTCCATCTTTGCTGCAAGCTTCAAGTCACACTCTATAAGTATTTAAAAAAGTGAAAGCCAGCGTATGGAAATGCTTTAAGGTTCTAAGCAGATCTTAACTAATTGGGCTGTAATCTCGTCATCAGAGCCTCTGGTAGCTATCGTGAGTTAAAATAAGACGTGAGGATGAAAAATAATTAGTTGTTTCGAAACACAATCTTGAATTTTCCAAATACTCAGTGCTGCTGCCATTTCTATGGAATGATACCCTCACTATATAAAGGTGTGTGTTTTTAGAACAAGATCGTAATAATTTAGAAGTACCTTGTGCCCACCGCAATTCCTAATTTCGGTATGTAAGTTTTCCCAGTTTTATGTTCTTTAGCTTCAACTTACAACTAGCTCATTCAAAATCCTATTCACGGTTTCCAAAATTCCAACTTCAACGTAGTCGCGATTCGCGGTAGCTGAGTGACGTCAATAAAGTGGCATGTCATAACACCCGTTTAACCAATGTAAAGGAAATAATAAAGGTTAAATAATATAAAGATAAATATAAATTATATGCATATATGAATGGTAAAGACTTGCCCCTTTTTAAATTCCTGGTTACGCCAGTGTTTGTGCTATTGTAGTTTTCAAGGAAATAGTATTACTATGACCCTATGTAGCGCCCCCAGTGGCATGGCGGTATGTCTGCGTACTTACAACGCTAGAAACCGGGTTTCGATACTCGTGGTGGGTAGAACACAGATATTTCTTTGTGTAGCTTTGTGCTTAACTACAAAGAACAACAACAACCCTATGTAGCTTGGTAAAATTATTCCCGCAGTATTGCATATCTACCTTCTCAGAAAGAAGGGCCCCCAGTGGCACAGCGGTATATCTGCGGACCTACAACGCTAGAAACTGGGTTTCGATACCCGTGGTGGGCAGAGCACAGATAGTCCTTTGTGTAGCTTTGTGCTTAACTACAAACAAACAACAGAAAGAAGTTAGCCATAAACGTATTTATCATCTGCATGTTTCTACAACAACCTTGACTTTATGAGTAAATTAACAAAGATGAGGCTGTTAGTTTCAATAAATGTATGTTTCCAAATTCGAGTATAATGTCCTTATGCACTCTCATAAGATGAGAACGTTGCCATGAGCAAATGTAACGATGTTTTAAGCGCATATTTCAAGATTCTGTGTTAACATAGTTGTAGAATGATAAAGTTGCTATGAGCAAATGTAATAAGGATTTATAAGCGTAGATTAGCCATTTGTCAAGAGTGAGAAAATTAGAATGGGAGAAAACTTTTCAATGGAACTTTAAATTTTGACATCGATGACTACTCGATTAAAATATTAGTCGCAACTTGACATTTATAAACAGTGCTGTCCATAATGACATATGATACCAACTTTTTGCCTTTCTTTACTCTGATGTAAATAATGTAATATGTATGTATATAGATATATACCAGCGGAGATCCGCAAAATATCTACAATCGAATTAGTATCTTTATTGCAACAGTACTTCTTTAAATACAGGATTTCTAAAATAATACAAAACAATTCTAGTCATAGACACCGAAATCTGTAAGTCCACATGCCTTAGGCCTAACATTAGTTAAGCCTATATTAAGTACGGCCTATATTCGATAAAGAGATAAATTAACTTGTGTACGTTTTTTGCTTTAATTTCGTTAGGGCTAAACGTTAGCGTACTTAATACTATCAGTAAATAAACTTATAATGTTATTCTACGACCTAAAGTTAGAGTTTTTTAAAAACTTTGATAAACTTTTAATATGTTGTGGCACAAAATGTCTACTAAAGTATATTTACTTCCGCCTTTTGTTTACATCCCTTGAAATTATGTGTAAGCGCATGCGCATTTAGATAGTAGAGTGCGCGCGCATTTTCACGACAGACAAAAACTGAATATTAATATAATAGATCATAGAAATGTTTTGCCAGCGACACTTATACCTTCTTTATGTATAAGTGGAAAATACAAAATGACTCTCGTATAAAATGTCAACTGGTGTTACAGAGTTATTTTTAATATTGATGAAAATGTTTGTAAAGTGGATTTCGAACCATATTGATGCCACGAGGATGTGCTGGTACGTAAAATGAAGTTCTTTAATTTGTTTTCATTGCTTTGATTATTTTATTTTATTTTTACATGCTAAACGGGATTTAGACTAAGTATTTTTATTTTCCAAGGAATCCTTTTGACTTGCTGTCGGTATAAAATGATGATATTATATCGTAGCATTAGAACTCATTCATAGATCTTCCATTACTTGTGTAAATTCGAAGTTGGAACATGTTTAAATATATTTTTACTTCAAAATAACACACATGGTATACTCTAGAAATTGATATAAGTTTTTAGTAGTCAACAAACGTCTAAGACTTGCATTTTAGTCTGTATTATGAGGTAAGGTCTGTACGAACACTCTGAAAGGACTACAGAGAAATATTTTGTAATTAAGCACAAAGTTACCCAATGGGCTATTTGTGCTCACCACGGGTATCGAAACTCGGTTTCTAGCGTTGTAAGTCCGCAGACATAACGCTGTGCCACTGGGGGGGGGGGCTACAGAGAAAGGCTGTCTAAAATAGAAAAAACTCAGATTTATTCACTTTAAATCGCTTAAATAACCTAATTAATCTTGTATAGCCAGAATAATATTATTGTTATTAGTATCATATAACTTCTTAATTTGAAACGATACTACAATAATATCTAATACTCAAAGTTATTTTCTTTTTTGTATTTGGTCGTGATTACAAGAAATATTAACTTTAGTATAAGTTGAGAATTTGTTCTCCAAAACTAATGAGCCTCTTTTCACTCGATTGTAAATTTACTTTACTTTTTTATAAATATTTAGTAATTTAACAGCTACTGCACATAGTTGTCATAAAGTGGGGTATTTTTTATGTATTTTCAAGCAGACCGTTCTAGCATTACAATTAAATATCATGGTTTTCAACATCTTGGTCAAATTGTTTGCATATATTTCTATATTGATGTTATTGTCTACATGCATGGAGTAGTTTTTGAGTAAATGCCCGAGTATTAACAGAGAAGGTAACTTATGATCGGACAAACATTTGCGAGTTGTTATTCTGATCTGTATAAGTTGTTTTGAACAATTTTTTCGTCAAAACACACATACACACCTGTTTTGTATAAAAGGGTGTGCTTTTGATATAATATTTTTCGAAAAAGATCAACGCTTTGTTCAGACAATTTCTCTGTACTTGATGTAAAGTCATGCGTTGTCACGTGCCAGAAGTCATAGGGCGTCAAATTGTTCGACTCTCCAAAACTGGTATGAAGCAAACGGGCATTGCCAGAACAGTAGCGTACCCCCAGTGTACACTGAGTGGTCACAAGTAAATAGACACCTAATTTTTCGTCATTTAACTGATTTATGCTAACTAATTTGTGTTCACAGAGCACTATATGAATGAAAATGGTTCGCACACTAATTATCTTGTGTTACAACATGCCTAGAACTCAAGGTTCTCTCGAATTGTCAGATTTTGTTAGAGGAAGGCTAGTTGGTCAGTAGATGGTGGAATAAGTCAGCGGCAATTTGCAGAATTTGGGAATCCCGCTTTTGGCAGTCAACAGAATCATCGTGCAGTTCAGG